CCCGCCGCCCCGCCCCCCCGCGCCCGCGGCCCCAACGCCAGCCGCCAGCAAAGAAGACAACATTGTGACTGGAGGGGAAGGAGCTGGGGCTGCCTCTGGTACAGGACGTGCTTTAAGAACTCGCAGGTGAAGCGGAAGCAGCCCTCCCGGGTGACCGAGCCGGGAAAGACGACCGACAACGAGAAGGCGCCCCCGGGAGCCGGAGCCACGGGCTGGGCCGTCAGCGCCACAGTCACAGCGACAGCGGGGGCCTCACGTAGCTCGAGGCCGGTCTCGGCGGACCTCGGCAGGTCGGCTGCAAGAGAGAGGAGGAGGAGGAGGTTAAGGTAGCGTGGTTGGTCATCTGCTGCCCGCGAACGAGGGGAAAAGGCCCGAGGAGCGGAAGGAAGCCTCGCCCAAGGGGGTTCCAAGACGCCTCAAAAGGAAAAAACCGCACTCGGGCGGCGCTGCAGCCTCACCTTCTGGTTGCGTCGCTCTCGGTGCGGCCATTTTCTGCTCTTCAACTTTACTCCGGTTTGAATGGCCGCCCTTACGGAGCATCATGGGAATATCGCCCATGCGTCACTGGAGCGCGGGCCGACTCTCCTGGCGCCATCTTTGTTTAGGGTAAGTTGAGCGCTGCCGCGTCTCTGGGCCAGTTTGTATGTTCCCGTGGCTTTTTCTGAAATGGTCAAGCCGGCCAGTCTAATTCGCTGGCACTGTCTTCTACTTTATGGTCTGATTAAAAGTACAGATGCTATGCGAGGAACCCGACACGGGTCTCCTTGCTGTTAAGGGCAGGTATTTGCATGATCCTTAGGAAAACTGCCTTGATTATCTCCGCCCCCAAATAAACTTTTAAACTTTACCTTTGGCCGGTGGCTCAAAAGCGGAACTTAGTCGAGGAAACGAGTTTTCCTTCATTCCTAAATTTAGACCTTCAAATATTCTATTTGCCGATACGAAGATGACCTAACTTCCCCCCTTCCAGGAAAATACAAAAAAGCTAATTTGCCTTTGTTGCGTATCCTCACTTAACTTAAAACTTCCCGTTTTAAAGTTAAAATGGGATAGTCTTGCTCGAATAAAAGTTAATGATCGTAGATATACCCAGGACCTCCTGAATTAACTCTTAACAGCTACCTTAGACAGACCACCGTGTGTGATAAATATTTTGAGGGGCATACCGTTATTCATTACTTTAAAATATATTGAGATAGGAGAATCTTGGGATTATGATGACAAACTTACTTCATCAGGTTCTAAGAAAGAAGATAAATTTTATAAAGAATTGTGCATTTTTAAAGTGATGGTGTGATTGCCACTGAAAACCCAGGTGGCAATTGAACTTAAGTTGCACTGGCAATCTATAGCAGTAATTTCAGTATTTCTACATCATTTTCATAATAAATAAATGAATCATGCAGTGTTCTGTATCTAGTCAGCTGAATCTGATGCAATGTTTTTCTTATATCGGGCAATTCATTTCATCTGATGCAATATGTTGCCATTACCTAACAGCAATCTCATACTGAGTGTGTTATATGAGGCTGTGATTGTATTTGTAAATAAAGCAGCCTGCTAACAGTGAAGTGGGAGAAGCATCTGTTCTGACTTCATGAAGGAATCTATAGTTCAGCTGCTTTAATAACTAGAATACTCCTAGGCTGAAACATGTGTTTTGGTGTTTTGTTTTTTTAACTTGGGAATTAAGCTGATGAACTTTATGAATATTATTAGCTTGTAACTGAAATGACAGATGTTACTATACACAAATGTAAAAAAGTGAATATGCTGTTATACTGTTTATAATTCATTACTACTAGCTATCAAGGCCATTGTAAATGTTATTCCACTGGAAATTGTACTGGAAAGATTATGATTTTTTTTCTATGAATTTAAATTCTGTGAAATTATACTTCTGCTGAAAGTCTCTGCTTTTGTGATGGTCAGGGACATGTTAATAGGAATCAGTTATACAAATAAAATAATGATAGAAATGTAGCTATTTGAAATATGTGTAATAACTGATGCTCTTTAACAATTCAACAAATGTACTTGACAAAAGTTGTGAATTTATTCCCAGGTGAGTGTGTATATGCCTGCAATTTAAAATGTGATAACATTTTATTCTCATATCTTATTTTCCCATGAAAATGAGTATTTTTTTTAAAAACTTGAATTCAGTGTTCGAATGCAGATGCAGGAGACAAATAGTAATTATGTCCCTAACATTCATCTTGCATTTTTAGGATACAATACAGTATCCTAAAGTTTTAATTTAAATTGTGGCATAATTAATTCTGTCTGGAAAATGGCTATATTAACAGAATAAATCACACATTTCTTAGGACTCGACGGCTGAAGAGCATCTGAGGATGCTACTCCTGCTATAAAGCATAAAAACAATAAAGCTGACGCAGACGCAGACAAAAGTATTTTATTGCGATGTTTCTGTTGGAGGCACAGCACTACTAAAAATCCTAAATTAATTCAATCGCCCCCGAGATTGCTGGTGGTTGTAGTCCTGTGTTCTGTTCAGAGAACCGAAATAATTGGAAGCAAAAAGAAAAAAAAATAAGGAATCTGGTGCCACAAAAGCTTATGTCTTTTAATGCAATTTGTAATGCTACCAGGCTTCCCATTTTTTGCCAGCACCGATTAACGTGGCTCTGTGCCTGCCAAGTGATCGGAGAGAGCTCCCGCGCCGGTCTTATTCGCCTCCGTATTTGTCCGAAAGCGCTGCCCTCCACGGAAAGGAGGACGCTGGAAGTTGTAGTCCAATGGTGTTGCTGCTCGGGCCCTGTTTCCCGTGGTACCCTGCGGTTCTTTCTGACGCCAAGCGCCAGAGTGGAGGGTACCCGTCAGAAGTCCAGTCCCGGGCTGGGAGGCATCCGCAGCGGGGGAGGGCCTGCTGTGGGACTGCTGGCTGGCCCAGGATGGACTCGCGGGTGTCCGAGCTGTTTGGGGGCTGCTGCCGGCCCGTGGGGGGCGGGAATGGAGGTGGTCTGCGAGGCCGCGGCGGCGGCGGCGGCAGCGGTGGTTCTTCCAAGGGGAGGAAGAAGAACGGGAGATACCGAGGTGGCAAGGCCAACAACCCGCCCTACCTGCCTCCGGAGGTGAGCGAGAGACTGCTGAGCCTGGGGTTGGGGCGGCAGGAGCTTTGCCGAGCCCAAGTTGGGGGGTGCCTGTCCTCCAGGGCTCCGACTAGGACGAAGATGCTGATAGTTTGAAGTCAATGATGCTGTAGCTACCAGCGTTACGGGGGGTTGGTGGAAAAGTCAAGAGTTTAATTGTGTTTAGAGGAAGAACCAAAATATCCCAAGACTGCAGGGAGCTTCTCTTGGGGAAAAAATGCTTTTGGTTTTTGTACTGCTGAGTTTCGTTTTTCTGCCTTCCCTTTCACACGCCCCCTTCAGATCCAGTTCTGGTTTCTCTGATTGAAGTGCCTGATGTGGTGTTAGAACTCTTCCCTCTGACAGCTCTGTCAGTAACCTTTCTCTAATAAATATCAGAGCCACTTTGAAGCTTGGCTTCGATTAAGGGAGAATAAGAAGTTCTGAGACCATAACTTTGAGTAGGGGAGGCAAAAGTGATTCAGATTCTGTTTACTGCAAGTAGCTTCTTTCTCCTTTTCTGACTCTGATTCACTTAAATTGCATTTAAATTGCCACATCTATGCTTGTTTCTTGATATATAGCCAACCAATCAATTGTGGAAGGAATTTCTAAATTGAAGCTAAGGTTCTATGATAATTTCAGTTGAGGTTACTGGCATATATATTTATAAATCTTGGCTTTGAATAGTCAGCTCGATGCTAGGTAGTGGGTATTTTTGTTTCTTTGTTTTGTTTGGAAAGCAAAGACTAGTTCCTTATCCTAATTTTCTAGAAACCCCTCCCCCTCAAAACCGACCCTTTAATATCTGTTAATGATATTGTGTAGCTGATACTAGACAGTCCAATAGTCTGATTCAATAGAAAACAATACATATACATCTCTATACATCTAGAGATTATCATAAATTATAGTAACTAGCATGTAGAAGACATTTTCAGGAAAAAGATTTCTAAATTTGTTTATATAAGATTTGGGCATGTGTGCATACAAACGTCTGGAAAAGAAGTAATTAGTATTATGTTTCCCTGCAATTTGAGATTGTATGATCTAAAGACAAATTTAAAATCTCAGAGTTTGTTTCCAGGTGAGAGAAAAAGTGCTCGTATTACTTCTTTCATTGAGTTAATTTGCAGGGATTCACCTATTGCCCTTGGCTCATTTGGTGGCAAATTGGATCTATCAAATTGAGCAGATGACCTCTTTCTCAGCTTTTAGAAGATCTTTAAACCCACATATTTTGAATAGCATCTTAAATGATGATGCTTTTGATTTTTAAGTTTCAGTATAATTCTTTTTTTAATAGTTTTACTATACAGTAAACTTTTGACAGGCTTTGGTAGTTGTTTATATAAAAAGTCAAATTAGCAAACTAGGCATTAGTATATGAAAGTAAAAAACTAAATGAAATTTAATTAAAGGATGAATAAAGTCCATATAGCCACAAATCCACATATAATCCCAGGCCCATCTTGCCAAACCTGTTTTTTCTCATTTATATAAAATTTATGTGGATGTGCAATGCGAGTTCTTTTATAGCAATGATGTTTTCATTTTTATTCCTGTTTCTCCTGGTGATTTGCTAACAATTGTACCCAATATTTTACTTTCTATGCAATGTAAGATGTGAAAATAGATGTCAAAATTTCGCTTCATATTTTACAACACTGAGCTCTTCCCAAGTACCAAGATAAGAATTACTCTTTACACTGACCCTGAGATTTCAGTATTACAGTACTATTTTTCTGTCCCTGGTTAACAGCATGAAGTATTGCTAGGCATGCCCAAACTTATTTTTCCTTTCTCACTTCCACAGCAACCCAGTGGATAACTTATGCTCTTTCAAAACTGCAAATGTGTACTATAGGCATGATTTCTTAACACGCCATGAATTTAGGGGTGTGTTTGTTTTTATACATTGCAGAATAATACCATATTAATAAATCTATGCTGTGTAAATAAATTAACAAGGATCTTACATATAATAGTCTAATCTCTAAAGTACAGGTGTCTAATTACAGGATATTCTTTGCTAAGTATTTCCTCTGTCACCAGTCCTTTTGTGCCATAATCAGGTTTTGAGCTTGAAGAAAGTAGGGTGCATGGAAAAAATCTAGATGTAGGAAGGAAAGCTTGCTAGAGAGAGAATGATGCTGGATCCAAAAGGGTTAATTCAGTTAATAATTTCAGGAAGAAATTAAACCTGAGTTGATCAATTTTACATTGTCATTAATCTGACTTATTTGTTTATTTATCTGTCAAATTTATATAGCCCTCTGAATATTTCCCTCTGAATTCTGTGTCTTTAAAGCTCCCTATCCTGACTCAGGATCAGCAGGATATGAATCAGTGTCACATACCTGCTTTTTAGAGAATGATTCTAGTCTTTCTATGAGTTTTATGAGTAGTCTTCAGTGCTCACTATTAAAATCAGGTAGAAGTATCTTCTGGAAAAATATCTGCATAACTTGTTAAGGGAAGATCAGAGGAACTAT